CCCCCCACCTCTGCGTCTCTCACTTTTTGTCTCTAAAGTCAAAGAATCACAAGCAATCTTGATGCTTGCATCATCTGTCGGCATTATTTACTCCTTTGATTAAGCTATAAACTGTTTATCCCTCTCCCTGTGTCTTCTCTCCATCTTCTCCTCCACTAATTGCTTTCTAGAACAAGGACCCTCCAATCACTCATTATGCGCTAAAAACCAGCCTCTTATCCACTCCACCTCTGCTCACTGCGCAAGATTCCACCTTTACAGCCATGTCCTCCAAACCCAACGATCTCCACATCCTCTTCTTCCCTTTCATGGCGCAAGGCCACATGCTCAGCCAAGTTCTTCGCCGCCCGCCGCACCCTCATCACCATCCTCATCACCCCCTGCAATGCGGCCATCATCCATCCCACCATTGATGACTCCATCCATCTCCATATCATCCCCTTCCCCTATGCCGACTATGGCCTCCCCGAAGGCTGCGAGAGCCGCAGCTTCCTCCTCTCCAACAATTAGCACATGAACTTCTACAAAGCCGTCACCTCCCTCCGCCACTCCTTCAACTCTGTTCATGGAGAGCTCCGTCCCCACTCCGTCGTCTCGGACATGTTCTTGCCACGGGCTTACCATATTACCGCCTCTAGAGTTATTTCGAGTGTAAAAGTTAGCATGCACTATTTTGGCTTAGCGCTACAACTTCGTCATTTCGCGTTGAGGTACCAATTTAATGACATTAACAGTTACATGCTTCCCAGGCATGACATAAATGAGTTTAACCGTTTTTGACTCGGTCTTAGGCTCAGCATTTCAATGCTGACACAAGTACTGAAGCGCCGCTTTAATAAGGTCCATGTGCCCATTTTTTAGACTGTTGGCTTATGTGGCCTCGCCTTCTCCCCTCCTGTCTCTATTATGTCTAGACATCATATGTTCGAACGCCCAATCACCAACCTTTACATTACGTTCAGATGTACGGACATCCAGACACCTAATACTTTTGCCTCTCCTCATCCCCACCGTGTATCGCACCAACTTCTGAAAATATGATGTGACGTCACCTTGCTTAGCCAGAGAGCAGACTCTCTATGTTCTCACTTGAAGGCACATGGATCCGCATTTCCTTAGCACATATTTTATCTGTTCAGCTTTTTAGCTATTAATTGCTTGTTTTTATTAGGACCGATGCGATTCACATATATTAGAAAACTAGAAATCAACAACTTTTTAAAACCAAATTGTTGATTTT